GATTGTGGGATGGAATGGCCCTCATGGAGCAGAGGCTCCAGATGTGGAACCCAGCTGCCTCAAGTATCTGTATGGTTGCCACTGACTGCCAGGGCCAGCACTCTCAGAGCCTGCTCAATATGTACACAGACCTACACTAACCATTGGTCCTTATGACCAAGAGCACGACCATAGGGGGACAGGGAACCTTGAGCTCACTCCAGGTGAACCTTCCTCACAAGGAGACAGGGCAGTGTGAGGAAGCACCCAGCCAGTGGAGGAAAAACACACGGCTCCCTCAGGAGTCTCCTCTCAGGCCACTCCAGAGGTGGCCAGGCTCTCTATCTCCCCTCTGCAAACACCCTTCCGACCCTTAGATGTTCAAGACAGGGAGGGTCTACTCACCTCAACATATCTGACCTGCCCAGACGCAAGTGCCCTGGGGTTGCTCAAACCAAACCTCCAGGGCCAGCATGCTTCACCATCAAGCAGGATCCCTTCACTGAGCTGTAGAACCTGGGCCACGATGGTGGGACAGAGAGCAAGAGAGAGAGCGAGAGAGAGAGAGGGAGAGAAATGAGAACACCTTTTGAGGGCCCTTGTGCATGGGTGACAGCACACTATGCAAAGTTTGATGTTTGTGTAAATATGATTTTTTTTATGGCATCCATTTGCTTGACTCCTTGTGTGGGTCCGAATGTAATTGTTTGAGCGGGGTGCCTAACTTGATGCCCACACAGGCTGGATCCCATCGATCAATGCCTGTATTAAGAGTCTGTTGCAGCAAGTGGAAACAAGATGACCTGCCCAGGGCATTGGCAGGATCCTTAGGGGATACCAGGGATGACAGGGCCTGTGGATGAGATATGCATGTATCTGGTGCCCATGGATTGTGCCCTGAAATGCTGTTTGGTGCCAAGCAACATGGGGGCTCTTCACAGTCAGCAGTGTGGGTATCTATTCTGAATTCGATGTCAGGGATTCTTGACATCTAGCGTCTATGCCACATCTGGTCAGAAAGAAGGCTGAATATTCATGAGGTGGGGTGTGGCATTAACAAGGTTTTTAACAAACATTAATCACCCTAATTTGGCAACTCACCACTGCCTAGCAAGAAACGGTGCTTCACCATTCAGTAGATACATAGAAGATGCAGAAAGTCACTCTTGTCATCAAGACAGGCCTTGTTGGACTCATCACATCATTCTGGCACAAATTCCACGACGGCTCATGTTGTTCAGGTCCATATGGGATTCCAACAGTTTTTTTTTATAGGCTACTGAATGATTTCTCCTGTCTTTAATATCCATGCATGCCGATTGCAGATATTTTGCAGTAAATTTTGTTAATCACTGCTTTTGTGAAGTGCTACAATTTCTATTGGGACCTCATCCCTGTCCCCTGCAACAGGTCTTCTAAATTAGTGAAGCAGTTGTTGACTAACTTCCTATTAGCTCTCTCCTTTGTACCGTACTCTCCCTAAAAGAAATAAATTGTTCATATTAATCTATTACATTGGTAACTAGAGCTTCATCTGTAAAACAGGGTTCTTAAAATTAGCACCAGCTCATTTGTTACTTGATAGCTGAGTGAATGATTGGGTCATTGACACTGGTTAAGTGGCTTATTGTCTTCACTAGTTGCACTAAAGGATCACTACTAAAGGAACACATTCACTGTGTATTTTCCTATTACCAGGAGTGAAACCGTTGCACAAGAATCAGGTTTCATTCAGGTTCAACAGAATTTAATGGCAGGACCCACATTAGAACTTAAGAAAATATTTTACAATTTGATTGCCACATTGGTTTGCATGTTATTTGGGGAAAAAAAACACAAGTAGAGAATAGTAAATTTGGAGATTGCAATGGGAGTCAGAGTTCATGGGTTGTGAAAAGAGATTGAGCTTGAGTAGTCAGTGGAAGTACTCCTGCCAGTGGCTCAGAAACAGTATAGGAAATGCACTTGTATCCTCAACATTTAATCAAGAGGGTGTTAAATGTAATTCCTCGGGCTAAAGGGACAAATGAGTACAGGGAGAAAGCAGGAACAGGGGACTGAGTAGAAAGCAGGAACAGGGGACTGAGCTGAACGATCATTAGTGATCATATGGATGGTGGATGGCCTGCTCCTACTGATATGTTTCTATGTTAACTGTGTTTCTCTCTTTACACAGATGTAGCCAGACCTGCTGAGTTTCTCCAGCATTCTCTGTTTCAGTTGGAGTAGATACACCTATCTCACATGTCCAACCCTTCACATATCCCTTTACCAACCAGCGTTCCCAAGATCTAGGAAGGCATGGGTTAAAAATTAAAAGACTAGACAATGGAGGCACACAGTTTCCTTAATACATCTTACGGGTGTACCTACCTCTTAATAAAGGGCTGGTTTTCCACCATTCATTCTTAAAACAAGAAATGGGGATATTGAGGCTGGCATTTGGAAATTTAAAATCTTTGCCCCCTGCCCACCTGCAACCCTATTATCCTTTGGAGTTAAATTTCTTTGGATTATTCCCACAGTTCTATTAGCATATGTAGATAAAAATGTAAAGGAATAGGAGCTGGAGCAGGCTATTTGGCCCATCATCCTGCTCCACCATTCAATGAGATCATGGCTGATCAAATTCTTTACTAGTTGCACTAAAGGATCACCATTAAAGGAGCACATTCACTGTGTATTTTCTATTACCAGGAGTGAAACCATTGCATAAGAATCAAGTTTCATTCAGATTCAACAGAATTTATTGACAGGACCCATGTTAGAACTTAATAAAATATTTTCCAATTTGATCTCAATGCTCTGTTCCTGACCACTAACTACCTTGTCAATCAAACATTTGTCCAACTCAGCTTTGAATGTATTAAAAGACCCAGTCTCCATTGTTCTCTCGGAAACACTAAAAATCTCATCTCCTCCTCACCTCCATCTTAAATGGGAGAGCCCTCCATTTTAACTTGCACTCTGCATTTAAAGATTCTCCATGACAGGAAACACCCTCTCAGCATTGACACTGTCAAGTTTCATCAGAACTTTTACATGTTTCAATAAGATCACCCCGCACTCTTTCAAACTCCAATGTGTATAAGACAAAGCCCTCATCCCAGAAATCAGCCGAGTGAATCTTTTCTGAACTGCATCCCATGGCAGTCTGTCCCCTTCCTATATTAAATGTGACCAAAATTGTACACAGTACTCTAGGTGTTGTCTCAAATGAAAGATTATTATTTCTTCTAATTTACACAGGGAGTACCATGGCTCTAACTCAGTGATTCCCAAACATTTTTTCCAATCGGACTCCATCTCAGTTTGAAAATTACCACAAGCCCAGATGCCAACAGAAATGATTGAATGCTGACCCTAAACAGTCTCCAAAAAAGTGAAATGGCCACTCAGGATTGAGATGTGGAGGAATTTATTTACTTGGAGGGTGGTGAATCTTTGGAATTCTCTGTCAAAGGAGGGTTAGGGAGGCTCAGTTGTTGAGTTTTTTCAAGATTGAGACCAATAGAGTTCTATGTATTAAAAACATAAGGGGCAGGGAAATGGTGCAGGAGAATAGCATTAAAGCAAAAGCTCAGTCATGATGTAATTGAATGGACAGGGTTGATATGGATTGTGAAGCTGCAGCAATCACAATGGCATAGTGGTAATATCACTAGACTAGTAACCCAGAGATCTAGGCTAATACCCTGGGATATAAGTTCAAATCCTACAATGGCAGATTGAATTCTGCCAATCAATTCACTTGATTAAATTTAAGGAATAAATGTAGAATTTAAAAACCACTAGCTTTTAAACTAAATGTTCACCAATGCCTTTTCGAGAAGGAAATTTGCCATCCTTACCTGTTTCAGCCTACATATTGACTCTTAACTGTCCTCTGGGCAATTATGGATGGGAAATAAAAGCTAGCCTTGATAGCAAAGCATGTTTCCCATGGAACAATAAAAGAAAAAGAAAGAAAAGGTCCAATTAAGATGCCAAAGCCCTAACCAGATGACTTCAGTGTCAGAGACTTTAGTAGTGAAAGATGGGAAGGCCTAATGGGTAGATCTTGAAGGTTAATGGCTCTTCTAGTATTCTTTGTGGACTAGAAGGAGCAGGATTGCTGGTCTTGGTCCTCCCAGAAAACCTTCAGTCTGCTTCAGCCCTCCATTCAGTCTTCAAATTATGGCTGATGTACCCTTGTCAGTGCCAGGAACTGACCCCATAGGTTCCTGACCAGAATTTTCTACAGTGAGCATCATGTTTGTGCGCTGATTGGGATCCTATCACTGTTTCTGTGACCTCCAACTAGGATCATGACCCACAATTTGAGCATTGCTGCCACCAGGAATTGAAGCTAATTTTCGCCTTGTTGAACACAAGTGTCAGTGTTGATCACCACTTGGTTCAAAAGGTGTTTAAATAAATATTTTAAACACACAGTTCAACAACATCATCCAAATTTGCCCACTTATACCAAGCACTAAGCATCACTTTGTAACCTCTCTAGTTCAGAATGTTTGGTCCAATTCATTTCTGGATATTGACATTTTCTGGATTATAGGACTGGAGAATGCCCAGCCACAAATGTGTGAAGAAGAACAGAGGTTGATATAAATACTTACCTGAAAAATAAAAAAATGATAAAACATTACAAAGCAGTAACAAATTGCTTCACTATCCAAATAGTCTTCCATGCTTTCACTCCCAAAGTGCTGCATTAATAATGATGTGGATAAGGCTCACGCAAAAAGTTCTAGATGACGGATATTTCTGAACACTAGATTTCTAGATTAGAGAGGTCAGTGTATTAGGTCCAGGAAAATGAAACATGCGGCAGAAATCTCATTGACTTTGAGCTAAACCCTATTAAGACACTGCTTCTAACGAATGAGTAGAAAATCAGTTTGAATTTCACTGAGGTGGGAGAAAAAGAAAATTCAACTCCTGCTTTAAAACAATGACATTTTAATTTAGAATAATATCTGAAGATGAATTACATCAACACAATTTTTTTAAAAATACATTTACCTTTCATTACAACAATCCCCTCTACCATGATGTAAAATGCACTGCTAATGGCTCCTCCAGATCTGAAGCCATGTAACACACCCCTGCTATAACAGATTTTGTGTACTTGTAGGGAGGTTTAAGTATATATCCATTCCAGTTTTGGTATTGTAACATTGTGGGTTGGTAACAGTTTCAGGCAGGAGCAGACCAAAGGTCCATGAAGCCTACCTATCCAAAATATTCCCTTGTGCAGTTCTAATAGCACGGATGGTGCTGGTCTATGATTGTTGGCCATATTATGTAATAGAAGTGAGGTATACCATGAATATCCAGTACATAAATCAAGCTTATTTACGACTTTTTTACACTCAACGTTGTCACATTTGCATCAATGGCAACAGTCATTCACCAATTAGTCTAAAAACATAGCAGACCATAGCAGACACTTTTCCATTAGGATGACCTATATAATGTTATTTTACGGCACTTTAATCCATAGAGACAAGGACAAATCCAGTCTTGTCAGACTTGATATACTCAAACAACATTTTTTGGGGAATTTAAACTGGAGCAAGTTGATCCTTTTCCTCCACCAAAACACTCCACACCCCCACCCCATCCCTAACTGTTTCCCCCTTTTCACCATCAGGTAAAATGGAATCTTGGAGATTAGTCACATTTTTAGTTTGACATGAGATGAAGGAGAAAATAGTAATTTTCAACAATTTTAGACAAGTTCATGTTGGTTTCTATTTGCTGTGAAGTCACTGGTTCACAAACCATGCCTTGGGAAACTGCTGAATTTAATATGTTAGCAAAGGGATCTAATTAAAAATCTAATTTGTAAAACAGTGGTGCTTGATTGGAATGGGCATCATTTTGAAGAGCCAAAGTTATAGTCAGGGTACATTCTGTATACATGTCAACAATCTCACTGGGAATGTGGAAGCCACTCAAACATTTTGCCCCAGCTTAAACCTCACCTCACACTCATATTTGTAATATCTCTCCTGCTTTCTAAGTATAAACTACATATCCCACAGTGAACTGGGGCTCACTGACTGAAATTGCCCATAAAGGAAAAAATTCACACGCAGAGAAGTTTAGATCATTGCAGGAATTGTAGTTGTTTTAGGTTTGCAACACAGGAGCAAAAGCTAGAGCAGCTACAATGTACTTGAAGCGTGTTCACAAACTCCCATGTATGGTATTTAAGGGAGCGGCATCTTTACATTCGTAATGTCTTTTTTGTATGTTTGGATTGTAGGCCAATGTTGAACATGTGCATTACATTTGATTCATAGTGGAGAACATTATGTACTTCCCACTAATGCCCTGAAAGTGATGGCATGCTTGATGTTCCACCTTACAGAAAACACAAAAGTGACAACGCAGTGACTAAAAGCTCCTTTGAAGACAGCTTGGGTAGAATATGTTATCCATGTTAGTCAATCACCCTCTTATGGCAGGAGGATCAATTCATGATGAGATGGAGGTCAGACAAAGGGTTGGCAATCCAGCAGGAATGAAAGCTTGCTCCTTTACTTCAGGCGGTCAGTGTTGATACTACCATGTCCCATTAGAACTGAGATGCACTGCTTGGGTCGCATTGTAGTAATCGTACAATGGATGGGTCACTCTTGGCACCTTTAATGAATTCTTCAAGGGACAATTTACCTGCAGGACAGTTGTAAATAGAAAAAGGGTGCATTATCAAATTAATGTTCAGTTTTGAATGTTACAGATAGTTTTTACAGGCAGCTTGTGAAAGTGTGTTTCTCACTCAACTCTAATGAGACTGAGAAAAATCAATCTATTTTACATCAATTTTTCTCTTCTACTCTGTAACTGCTACAAATGGGCAAATGGTTGGCTGCACAAAGAAATTCAGGAGATTGATTGCTGAGCACTTGCTTTCAGGGACTTGTTTGAACTCCAGTAACTTTGAAAAACAAAAATTTCTAAACTAGCAGAAAAAAAGAAATAGGCACAGAAGAGGAAGTTGATTTGTGAGAAAGGGTGAAGAATTTCTACTTTCTACTGATCTCTAGTTTTAAGTTAACTGTACAAGAGGAAGGATAAAGTAATCAAAGTCACAATAAGTAAAATGACTTGAAAGTATAAGTTAAGGTATGGCAGGGCACCTTAACCAAGCAGAATGCCTGTCCTGTGGTGTATGGGTAGTTGTGAGTACTTATTGTGATCTAGATGAGTGAAATATCATCAACTGCACTGAGGTACATCTGTAAGGCAGAGGATTTCATTGATAGTGTGTTCAAAGAGGTGATCACATTGCGATTTAAGAGCAGCCAGACTGGTAGGGAACGGGTAGTCCAAGAGAAACAGACAGGTAGGGAACGGGT